GTATCCTATCGCAGGCAGTTTTGGGGGGGGGGGTGTCGGAGGAAATGCCGGAGAAAGCGCGTGGGTGCAAGTATACTGCGGCGAAGCGAATGAAACCCTCTAGCCCTATTGCGACGCCTTGGAAGGGGGAGGGTGGCGAGCAAAATCAAAAGCGGTGCTCGATATGGCTGCTGGTGTCGAGCAGGCAGGCGGGAGGGTGGTGGGCAGATGGAGGAGAGAAAGGGAGTAGGGGCAGGAGTAGGAGTAGGAGTGGGAGTAGGAGTAGGAGTGGGAGTGGGAGTAGGAGTGGGAGTGGGAGTAGGAGTGGGAGTGGGAGTGGGAGTGGATGTGCAAAGGGAGGTGAATGGGACCTGGGCCAGACGGGGGCGCAGGCCGGGATAAGGGAGATGGATGGGCCCAGGAACGCGTGCCTTGCAGGGCTTGGCACGTGTTAACGGGCAGGTACAAGTGACGCAAGTCGGCAGACGCTAAATCGCCAGATGGTTGTTTGGGGACAGCAGCGGCGGCCGTGTGTAGACAAAGCAAACACGGCAGTCGTAGACAGGATCAGGATGGTAAAGTAATGGACCGAGAGCCGCCGGGACCGCGACGGGTGCAGCTGCGAGGCAGAGCGCGCGGGCGCCGTGGGCAACGAGTGGCGGCAAAGCTGGTTGGGAAACGCTCGGGGACGCCTTGGTTGCTGGAATTTGGGACCCACCAGAGGCGCCGGGTAGCGATGGAGTAGCGATGGAGTAGCGATGGAGTAGCGATGGAGTAGCAGTGGACGGGGTAGCAATGGGCGGCGCGGGAGGGAGCAAAAGGGAGGAATGCAAGAATGAATGAATGATTCATCGAAGGCGCTTACGCATGCCCATGGGACATGGAAGTTGCACTGGTACGTTTCAACACACAGGAAATGCCCTGGGCCCCTGGTGGAGCCTGTCATGAGAGGCGTCAAATTGCGCTGTCATGCTCTGGACGAGTGTCGTGGGGTGCGCGTATGGGAACCATGGTCTTTTGGTCGGCGGCGGGTCGCCAGCCTCGCCGTCAACAAGTGCAAGCTGCAGGCATGTTTTTTGTGGATAGGGTAGAGATGATCGCCATTACGCGTCGCACCACATATAACGATGGGCCTGGGAGGGGAGGGAGAGAAGTCGCAGTCCCGGGGCCTCAGCACAGCATTCGTATCGCTGCCGCAAATAGCGTGGCGATCTAGCTCTGTCCTTTTTGATCCTCCCTCAGCCTGCTCGCCTGCCCGCCTGCCCGCCTGCCCGTCTGCCCCCCCCCCCCCCC